GAGAGAGAGAGAGAGAGAGAGAGGAGAAGGAGAGAAGGAAGAGGGAGGAAAGGCGGAGCCTTTCTCCCGGATACCTGAATGGCCGCGCTGTCCCTGCTGATGTCCGCTGAGGCCGAGCCTGGCAGTGCAGCTATGGCGCTGCAGTGCTGGGCGCTGGGCTGCGGGCTGAGCCAGAGGGCCGGCGCTACTCGCTGCTGCTGCGCTGATCGCTGCTGCGCTAATCCTTCTCTCTGCTGTGCTAATTCTCCCTGCTGCTCCGCTTTCCCAACCGAAACGCTGTATGAACCTCCCTACCGAGGCTGGTACCCAGGTGATATAGCGCTGGGCCAGCCTCAAGGCTGCTGGTACCTTCGGGTCTGGACCGTTGATCGGCCCCAACAGTTCAGATCCGTTACCGAAAACTGAAAGTGGCGCCTAAACCTGGCTGCCTTCAAAACTGCGCTGCTGGTAGGTCCTAGCGTTGGACCGGTACCGGCCTGGCCCTTGTGACCGTTGGCCTACTCGGCCTTTGGGCCGACCTATGGGTCTGAACCGACGTGACCCCTGACTCTAGGCCTAAACTAGCCTAACTACGGAACCGGGCCTTAACTGGGGCCCGTGTGGTGTGAGAAAGCCACACACTCCTCCCCTTGAAGACCGAGCTACTTGCGAGGGCAAAGCTGTCTGTCTGATGTCTGTGTGGGGCGGGCGGGTTGGGCAGCCTCTTTAGCAGGTCACTGTTTTTCTTAATGCGCGAAGATGAGGGGTGCTATCGCCTTCAGGTTGGCTCATGAAATCCAGCGTGTGTTGTCGGGATCGCATTGCTTAAATGTGACTTTGTACTACATCGGTTTGTTGTCGTGCTTGTGGTGAGCGAGGACACGGTCAACCTCTTGGTGACCGTCCGTTGGAGGAGGGTCGTGTGACTGTCTGCCCGGGGCTGGAGTGTAGACTGCCAGCGTCGAAGAGTGAAATATTGGGTGGACCGTCAAATGCGGGGGAATCTCGATCACGAACGAGCGACCCGCGGGGTCATCGCCAGCTGCTGAGGTGACCTTCCATGGTCCAAACCACTTAGGGAGGAGCTTGCACGAGACGTGCTGCTCGAGCGCGAATTCCTCAGAGGTGACCCAAACAAGGTCGCCGGCGCGTATTGGACATGGGATGCAATGCTGCTGCATGCGGACCTGAGCCTTTTGCATATTTGCACAGGCTTTGGCCAGCAGCTCCCTGTACTTCCGTGTAGAAGCGGGGGAGCAAGCGGCGTCGACATCGGCAACTCGTGGAAGCAAAATGTCTACGGAGATGCGACCTTTCCGCCCACCATAATGCAACTCAAATGGAGTCACGCCGATGGCCGGGTGT